CGCTTTTTTTCTTCCCTTTTCCTTTTCCCCGCCAAAAAAAAAAAAATCCCCCAAACCCTCAACAACAACAAAAAACCCTTTGCCTTTTACCCTGGCTGCGAGCAAAGTGTCTTCATGAGCGCAGAGGATGTCCGGGAAGCATTACAAGGGGCCTGAAGTCAGTTGTTGCATCAAATACTTCATATTTGGCTTCAATGTCATTTTCTGGGTAAGTGGGCCGGCCGCACGGCGCCTTCCTCGCTTCTCTCCCCCCGCTATTTTCCTTTTCCTCCTCCTCCTCCCCCTGCGCCGCTCCCGGCCTGGGCACGACCGTTGCGCGAGGTGCAAGCGCGCGGCGCGGCCGTTGCGCGCGCGGGAGGTGCCTGGGGGTTCCCTTCAGCCGCCCCTGGCCGCAGCCTCCCCCCATCCCCGGCAAGTTTGCGCCGCGCGTTCCCGCAGCCCCCCACTGCCTGCTCCCCTTCCCTCCGGCCTCGAAGTAGCTTTTATTGTAGCTGTAAGGAGGGTTTTCTTTTCCCATTTACCTCTGCTTTCCTTTGAGGTAAGGGACGGAGCTGCCAGACACTGGGGCCTCGGGGGATGAATTAATCTGTGCGTTTCCGTAGTGAAAAATAAAAAAATAAATAGAGCCAGAGCCTGAGTTCCCCAAGCGGTGCTGTTTTGGATGCTGTATCCCCTTTGCAAAGGCTGAGCCTAGGAGAGGCTCAGCGAGGTGGCTCTTGAGCTCTTGGTTGTGCTGCTTGGTGCCCTAGTGTGCGCGAGGTCTCGTGGCACTGTTCCCATGCTGGGCAGCCAGTGCTGGGCAGAGCAGCATTGTGAAGTGTGACCTGTGTGGGGTTGTATTTCTAGCATCTTCTCCCCAGGTGGGGGCTTTGGGGAGAAACAAGGGAAGTTGGAATGCCTTTCCCAAAATGTGCATCCTCCCTCAGGTGTTAATGGTTGAGTTTAGAGTTAGAGTTGGAGGAAGGCACTTGCAAGTGTGAGCACCCTTTCTGATGAGATGTCATTTAGCAGGGAGCGACCTACAGGAAGCTGGGTGGAGATGTGTGGTGAGTGCTCTGGAAGCAAGTCAAGCACAGATTATGTTGGTTATTGTCTTTGGCCAATAAAGACACTTGGAAACAATTTTTGCTGTGGATGAAGGTGGTGAAGGGGGAAGGAGAGAAACCTTCATGTTGGTTCCAAGGTTGTGATTGTCCTTATCACCTGCTGAAAATAGAGCTTGGCAGTATAGCTAACAGGTGCCCATCATAACCTTGTGTCTGGCTTCCTCAGAGGGAAGGTGTCTGGGGAGGCTGTGTTGGAAGATGGCAGTTATGATTAGTAACACTTAATGCAATGTACTTGCTCTTGAATCAAGAAAGGTAAGCTGCTAGAGCGAAACTGGCTAGTGTCCATTTCCATGTTTGCCTGGTGGAAGAAACACACCTGTGGTGAGGAGCTAGTGTGCTCTCCAACAGCTTCTCTTTTTCTTGCTCACTTTCTAATGGTCAAATTTGCCGTGGTTTTCTTCAACTGCCTATTCTTTGTTTTGGATCCCACAAGCGTGCTGTGAACTGTGTGTATTTTTATATGTATATATTATTTTTTTGACAGGAAATGAGTTGGGTGAGGAGGCCTTGCATGCTGTGCCTTTGGGGTAAAGGAGGGAGATGATGCACGCAAACACTTTATTCTCTGAAGACTGAACTTGTGGGTGGTAGAAGTGGGGAAGCAGCAAGTGCTTTGCTATTTTGTGGCTAGTTGCTTTCTCCCCTGTGCGCTGCTGAGGCTCGCACTGTGCATCTTCTGCGTGGTGGCAGATGTTCCCCTGCCATAGCTGAACGGGTTAAAGGATATCTTGCTAGACCACATGGCTGGACTGCTGGAATGGTAATCTGCAAACCTGAGTGCGTCGCCCACTCTACCATTTGCTTGTTGTGTGGCCCTTGCTTACAGATTTCCTGTTTTGCAAAGTGCTCATCATCTCATTTGTGTCCTTGGCTAAACTTCTGGAGATCCACAGAGTTACTGGGGTTTAGTGTAGTCATTTTTCCAGAAAATTATTGTGTTTTTCTTCATGAGAAAGCCTGCATATATTACCATATCTCTCATGATTTGGAGTGAAAACGTAGGCACTGACTTTTACAGAATACATTTGAAAGTTGCTTTTATTGAATTAATAGCAAACTTTTCAATATTCTGTCAGGAAACCAGAGCAGAAAAGCTGTAAATGTAAATGCAAGTTTGGTTGGCTTTGCACAGAGAGTGATAATCAGAGATAGCCGCTAGTATAAGTCATTGCAAATAGATTGAAATGGGAAAGAGGTCATTGTGTTAACCCTATCATATCCTGCAGGGATCTCTCAAACACTTAGATAAATAGTACACCTTCGTTAAAACTTCTGCCCGGGCTTTTTTTTTTAGGTTGGTTTTAATGCAAACAAATGGAAAAACATATTTTGTATCACAAAACAATGGACTTAAAAATGAATGCAACTGAGTTGGAAGACTAATGGTTCTGAGAAGATAATTGCTCATGCTTTGAGTCGAGGAATATTGTACTGATAATTATATGGGGATTGGCTATATATGTTATTTAAACAGAAGACATTAGAGGAAAAAATGGGCTTTATATCTCCTTGAATATAGATAACACAAATGGCCAAAACTTTCTGTTACTTTATTTTGCTGGTCTGTTTTTCTTTAGAAGAAGAAAGAAAGCAAACAAACAAGCTGAATTGATAAAATAATGAATAAATGAAAGTTGCATGCTACTACTATATCTATAGTTTTAACTGTAGGTGACATAATGTTGTCCAGGAGATGGTCTTGCACCACCTTAGGTAATGTGTTCTTGTTCAGCTCTGTGCATTTCATAGTGTTAGAGAATGCAGTCTTCTCAGCTGGTGCATATTTAATGGTCTAGATATATTTGTAAGCTTTTTTTTAATTCCAAATTGAAGTTGGTAAATGTGCTGAAAGTACATGATAGAGAAGTTATTTTAGGAGATTATAATGCTCTTATATGGAAGAGGATGCCTGTTTGGTACTTGAGCAGATGGCCTTCCTTCATAGTAAGATTTAGGTAGTGAGACCAAATAGGCACAAATGAATTTAAATCAAGGGTTGGAATTCTGTTATGTTTCGCTTTCAGTTGTTCAGCTGCGGCTCTCCTGCATATTGTTCATTAGGACACATGCTTATCCTTTACCTTTTTTAGCATAGGGTCTGTATGAAAGCGCCTCACATGATATTGATACCCTTCTAGGCTGGTGGTCCATGGCATGTGTTTTTATTTTGATGAGCTGTTATGTCTTTGTCTAGGTAAATTGTAGTGTACTCTGCTTTAGATGGGAGCTGAATACACAACATAAGGTAACAGAAAATCTCTTTCTGCAGCTAAAGAAGCAGCCACACACCTCCCTACCCTTTCTTTTCGACTTCCATGTGGAATGATATCAAAGGTATAATGCAAACATAAAAGTAAGCCACTCTGCTTCCCGAAAGGCAAGAACCATTTCCCTTTTTCTTCTCTCTTTTATATTTTGCTCAACCATTTTGAACTGACTTGGGACATTTATTCACAGAACCCTAAGTCCATATCTGTCCTTTGCCATTTGATGGAAACTATGAATAAATACTATAGTTTTAAATTCATACTTAAACTCAATTCCTCTGACCCTACAAAAACCTTTTCTGTCTTGATGATTCCCTTCAGCCTGGGAGGTGTGCAATTACGGTGCATTGGCACCTTACAAGTCATAATTTGTGTTTTAATTTGCTAGGCATCTGCTGATTTTGATGGTAACCATATGGAAATCTAAATAGTCTTCTGAATTACAGGAAGATAGCGGAAAGAAAACTGAATAAGATTATGTAAGTGTGTTATGGGAAAAGTGCGCTGGCCTTTGAGGGAGGGACAACACATACACTGTTTGTTGAATTTTGTACATTGTTGATAGTTTGCGGTCAAAGGGACAGAAAATAATTTTCCAATGGCTTGGAAAAATATCTGAAAAGATATCTGAAAAGGAAGTTTTGGTTATATAATTTTTCCCTTGCCACTGCTAAATAAATGAAAGCAAAAATTATTTTTGTAAGACTTGTTCTGTGCAATCTCCTCTTGCATTGAGTAGCGTTTGGTCTTAAATATATTGGGAAGGTATTTCAATGGAAGTGAAAAGACATTCTGATCACTTCTCCTAATCCCCTTTATAAACCAGCGTTTTTAATATCCCCAACATGGCTCGGAGAACTATTGCAAGGGGTTCTGGCACAAACAGATCAATGTTTGTCTCGGAGAAACCATTTCAGTTTTGTCATGTTAAACGGTATTGATGAACTAGATGCACTGTGTGAGCTTGGGATTCCTGAATTCCTCTGTGTGTTTGAACAGACATAATCCCATATTTTTAAAGTCATATGAAACTAGAATAACTCTGCCAGCTCTGGTAGCTTTGCTTCACATTTTTAGAGGTCATCCTTCAAATAATTTTCCTTTCCTTCCCCATAATGTTGTAGTAGTCTGTAGCATTGGTTGTGCAAAAAGAAAGAGGTAGAAGCCTCAATGAAGCAGTTTCCTTCCTCTAAAGTATTTGGTTTCCCCAAACTAGGTATTTATAAATATTTTATTGTTTTAAGGTATTTGATGTTTCTGGTTTATAAAAGTTTGAACAGGATAAGGACAAAAAGAACTTGAAAAAAAAGTGATTAATTCTGCAATTCTCATATTGGATTTCAACATACTTCAAATACTATTGGAATTATAAAATGTGGCTTCCTCAAGGGAGAAGAGAAGTATTATCAATTTGGTGGATGTATTTAGTGGTAGATATATTTCCCACCTTGATTGTACTATTGCAGCTGTGCCACCGGGTGAAATTGGCTATTCAGAGTTTCAAGAGTAAATTTGAAATCTCTAGAGTCTCAATCAGGGAAGTGTTTATGCATGTCAACAGGAACCTGAGTATGGGCAGATTCCACCTTTATAGACCACTTCTGTGAGTGAAACTGAATATTTCTATAAATAAAGACACACTGTGGTTCTAGTCCTTGTTGCATCTTGATAGTGCTTTTATAATAAAGGCAATGTTCTGTAGCAGATTGTAGCAGATCTTCTGTAGTAGATTGGAAAGTGTGCATGCTACCTTAATTCAGTAAAGACAGCCTTTTTATGATAGCTGGTTTGCTTATTATATGTGCATACTCAACATACTAGGTATGATATGG